TGTATATTAACTCTTTGTCATATGAGTGCTGGATATAAATATTTATCCCATTCTGCGGACATTGTTTTATTCTAGCCATCAATATTTTGATTTGTCTCTTGTGGTGAAGGAGCTTAAATTGAGGAAGTCTTAAAAAAAGATTTACTTCTATTTTATTGACCAAATACATTGAGTTATGATGATGCTAGATTCAAATCAATTTCCACCTATTTTTTCCTCAATATAATTTATGGTTTGGATTGACATTTTGGTCATTGTTATATTTTAGAATGACATTTTTGTAAATACAAATTCTTTTACATGGCTAAGCAGTTTTCAAATGCCATTTCTTGAAGACACTTACATTGCTCCATTCCACATTCTAGCTCCTTTATTGAAGACTTAACTGACAATATTCATGATGGTCTGTTTCCGTGCTCTCAGTCCTAGTTCATTGATCAGAAATTCTTTTAATATTCAATTTCTTTATTCCTGTGTTACTACCCAGTATTCAAGTCATCAAATGACTTGACTTTTTACTTATTTGTCATACTACCCCCTCAAAATGACCAGTCTCCAACTAAAATCTAAGACTAATATCAATTGCTTATATAATAAACCATGCAAAAATCTGTTCTTTCATTTTATATATATAATCATAAATGGTAATTCATGCATCATTATTGATATTTTCTTGCATTTGCTTATTTCGCTGTGGATGGATATTGTACCATTCCCATTTGATGTTTTCCTTTTTGTTTGTGTTTTAAATTATTCTGAGAGTTGCTTCCTTAGTATTTTGAAGGAAGTAATTTCCAAATCCTAAGTTGGAAGTATCAGATCCTCAAGGGCCCATGCAGTGCTCAAAGGGCCATACAGTCCTGTGTAAGGCCTTGCACATGCATAACATGTGCTCTGTCAACTTGAACATTGCCAATTTTTCTATCTATATTTTTGGAGGAAGGTCCTTAAAATACTTGTTAGCCAATTTTATAAATTTTTCCTATTGTTTTTCTTTATAATTGTTAACTAAAAATTGTTAATTGTATTTCAGGTAACAGAATTACAGCAGTATTTAATTTTAAGAAATTGATATAGAAAGTTACTTCATACCACCACCATCGATGTGCCCATGATTCTTCACACCTGTTCCTATGTCACCTCTGGTTTGACCTTCCTTAACTCCAACTAATTCTCTCATTATTTGTTGATTGACAGTCATGGTTTTTGTTGTAAACATTCTTTTCCCAATTGAATCACTGTGAGATAGACCCTTATAAAGCTGTTCATGATTAGGTTTCAGTCATACAGTGTCCCCACACCCATACTTCCACCAGTGTACATTTCCTTGCACTAGTGTTCCCAGATATCCTACCATCACCCCAACCCATGCCCAGCCTGTCTCTTTCTCTCTCTCTACTTTTGGGTTTGTAATACAGATGCTGAAATTTTATCAGGAGTATCCCCATACCTACTTTTAACACTCAGTTCTCGTCCAGCGAGATCCTTTCCAGTTATTATTGTCATATTGGTCCTTTCTCTATGTTATATACATCTACTCCCCTCCAACACACATACACACACACTTGTTGATTCCAACCATTTAGGGGACCTAACACTATGCAGGTGTTAGGAAAAGTGAAGTCATGAAATTTGCCTATAAATGAATGGACATGAAGAGTATTATGCTGAGTGAAATGAGTCAAAAGGAGGACAGATACAGAATGACTTCATTCATTCAGAGAAGATTAATATCCACGGCCAGGAAAAAATATGGGCTAGGAGGTCCCCTGTTGTATACTTTTAACTCCCTTGGCCACTACACATGTTCCAGAATTTCAACATATGTTCCCAGGTACTTCAATCAACTTGATAGTATTCCCTTATCCTCTCTCCTCCAACATAACACTCTCAGTTCTGAAATCTAGTGTCCACTGTCCATGGTTTATTTTCTATTGATATTATCCATATTCTTGATTCATTTCTATATACCACTCATTTGTGAGATCATCTTGTAGTTGTTCTGGTTTTTGATACTTTCATTAAACTTTATATCCTCCAATTCCATTCATCTTACCATAAACTGCATGACTTTTTTGTGGTTGCACCGTATTCCATCATATATATATATATATATATATATATATATATATATATATATTTCTTCCTTCAACCCTCTCTGAGAGCCCAGGCAAGCTACCGAGAGTATCTTTGCCTCATCGCAAATCCTGGCAAGCAACCCGTGACATATTCGATATGCCAAACACAATAACAACAAGTCTCACAATGGAAACGTTACTGGGCCCACTCGAGCAAACCGATGAACAATAGGAGAACAGTGATAGTGACAGTGATGTCTTTGAGCATTTGGGTTACTTTTATACATGGCTATTGTAGTAAAAGATACAACGAACATAGATATGCATACACATTTTCAAATTAATGTTTTTGTGATTTCAGGGTAGGTACCTTAAAGTGGAGTAGATGTGTCAAATGGGAGTTCCATGATTAGTCTTTTCAAGAAATCTCTATATTGTTTTCCAGAGTGGATGTACAATAAAACATTCTTACCAACAGTGAATAAAGTTTTCTTTTTTTTGCTATACCCCAAAAATCACTTGTTTTATTTATTTTTGATATATGCCATCCTCACTATGATTCTGATTTGTGTTTCCATCATTCTATTATAGAAAATGACCTCTTTTTCATAGGATTCTTATTCATATAAATTCTTCAGAAAAGTGTCTATTTATCCCTTCTTGCCATTTTTTCTGGCTTTTGGGTTATATACATCTTAGTCAGGGTTATTCCTGGCTTTACACTCAGAAATTACTCCTGGCGGTACTATGGGGACCATAAGGGATGCTGGAGATTGAACCCAGGTTGACCGCATAAAATGCAAACACCTTACCTTTGGTACTATTGCCACGGCCCTCCTCATTTTTTGATTAGGGATATTGTTTTTTCCATTTTCTGGTGTCTCCTATCCCTTTCTTAAGGAATGGTCCTTCCTATTCATTTCATACTTCTTATAGTTTAGGTATTTCATATACATTGTTAGATTGATTACTAGATATTTAATTTTTTACCACGACTTTAAAAGGAATAGATTTTCTGGTATTTATCTCTTTTGGTCCGTTGTTTGCATATAAAAATAAAACATATTCAGTGTATTCATTTTGTAAGTTTTTACTTTGCTATCCTGGTTTATTATAAATAAGGATAACTTGACTTTTTTTTTCTACTTTTATTCCCTTGACTTCTTTTTATCGTCCAATGACTGTGGCAAGTCCTCCTAAGATAATATTGAACAGTAGTGGTAAAAGAGGACATTCTTGCCTTGTACCTAATCTCAGAGGGGAGATTTTTTCTTTGTAACTTTGGGTATAATTTAGCTGTAGGTTTGTTTTAAATAGTTATTACTGTCTTGAAGAATGTCCCTTTTATACCAGTTTTGTTGAGGGCTTTTATTGGTCATGAACTGATGCTGAAATTTGTTAATTTTTTTCAGTAAAACTTGGTATATCATATTATTTTAATCTTTTTTGTTGATATTTTTGTTCATTATATTAATTGATTTGCATATGTAAAAACAACCTTACAGTCCTGGATGGAATCTTTATTGTGGTGTATCATCCTTACATCCTACCGAACGTAACCTGCCCACACAGCAGAGTCTGGCAAACTCCCCGTGGCGTACCCAATATGCCAAATACCAGTAACAATGATGGGTCTCATTCTTCTAACCCTGAAAGAGCCTTGAATATGGCACTTTTTTAAAAATCTCAGGGCTAGGATGAAGGAGATGTTACTGGAGCCTGCTCGAGGCAATCGACGAACAACAGGTCGTGATCGTGATTGTGATCATACTTTTTATTTGTGGTTGGATTCCATTCATTCAGAATTTTTTGAGGACTTCTGTACTGGAATTTAGATCTATAATTTTCTTTTTTTAAAGTTGCATCTCTGATTTTGGTACAGTGATGTCTTTATAAAGATATTAGCTTTCTTCAAGATTTCGAAGTATTTTCACAAGTACAGCTTGTACATTTTCTTTAAATTTTGGTAAGACTCACTAGTGAACCTATCTTCCTGGTGAAATTTATACTTGGAGAGATTATTTTTAATTACTATTTCAATTTCCTAACTTAAGATTGGTATATTTAAGTTTCCTCTTACACTTGATTGAGTTTTGAAAAGTCATATGTTTCTGAAATTCATCCGTTTGTCTAGTTTCTCCACCTTGGTGGCATAGAGTTAATCATAATGGCCTCTTATGATCTTTTGGAGTTTGGAATATCCATTGTAATTTCTCTCCTTTCATGCCTGATACATTTTATATTGTTTTCTCTTTTCTTGTGAATCTAGCTACATGTATATCTAATATCTAGATAGATAGATAGATAGATAGATAGATAGATAGAGAGAAAGACTTGTAGCTAGATTCACAAGAAAAGGGAAAACAAAATAAAATATATATACATATATGTATACACATACACACACATACATATATATATGATATGGCACCTCTCATAACTGCCATGTTGATTCACCCACTGGTCCTGCTCTGATGGTTACCAACTTAATCTCCAAAAAGTTGCAAGTCAAGCAGATGAAATTTATGGAAACACAATTTTCTGCAGCTCCAGAGGACCCTTGGGAGATAGTGGGCATAGTACAGGCCTTGCTGAAGTCCCAGTAGCTGTGCTCATAATTCACCAGATGGAATTTAAATCAAATAATCAATGCTTAATTATAAGGATACAATGATTTTAATTTTTATTGATACTAAACATAGTAATAAACAAGGAAAAATGCACACTACTGAAAACTCAAGGCATTTCCAAATCCAGTTGAAAGTTTCCCACACCTCTTTATTGTACAAGATAACAGTACACAGCATCTTCCAAGTACTTTTAATTTTTAAAGTTTCACATGCATCAGACAGACAGCACGTTCATGAAGTGACTGTTCACTTTTATTAATCAACTTTTATCACTTATTTTTTATGGGAAGTACTATTTGAAATGTATCTTAAATGTGTTCTTTGATATATTGTTACATGATTCTTTCACACTGATTCTACTCCTCTTTTATATCCCAGATGAACTTCAATGGTATGTCTTTCATCTTCCTTTGGAATATCATGTCAAATCTTTCACTTTGTGCCACAGTGAAATGGTTTTTCCAATCACCAATGGTACCTAATGTGATAAGTACATGTTAGATCATAGTAAAGTAGATTTTTTGAGGCAAAAATTTCCACAACACTGTTTACTCTCCTTTCTAAGAAAAAAAAATTATTCATTGTCAGTTAGGCTTAAGAATTCAGTTTTCCTTATATAAGTATGTCAAATTATTTATCTCCTAAATTTCATCAACTAACATAATCCACTTATAATCTGACTTTGGAAAAAAATAAATATGAACTGAATAACATTTTAAGATCTATTTTAATAAATTCCAGGCAATATACTTCTCATCAAGCTATAGATGATACATAACATAATTGCAACACACATACAACTGAATATGTCTTAAATTTTTATAAATAAATCAGTATTTTTAAACTATGTAAACAGAACAAAAATATTTAAACAACAAAGTCATGTTAAAAATGATTCCCAGAGCTTCCATTGCTGCAATTTTACTTGAAAATGGAATTTATAGCAGATTTGGTTAATGAAATTCATAATTAATAATTCACAATGAATTATGCATTCATAATTCACAATGAATTATGCATTCATAATTCATAATGAATTACTAATTCATAATTCAAATAAATTCAGAATAAAATTCAAAAAGCCGATTTGGTTACAATATTTGCTGCTTCCAGAACTCATTCAATTGGATTAATGACATCACTTTTTTCATCACAAAAAATGTTGAAAAGGAAATATATTTTTAATCCGCATCTCCTCTCCTGTACAAAATCTGACAACTATGTGTATTTCTAATATTTTTGTTGTATTTGAGGTAACATATAAATTAAGGTGTTAATGTTTTTGGTATGCAGTGTAACAGCCCATCAAAATGTAAAAGACACTTTTCCACTCTCCTTATAACACCTTAAATATAAGTTTTAAATGAGAGAGATTTAAAATAAAAATTCTGAATTAAATTTTAAAATGAAACTGAATTATAACTTTAAAAGTACTGTTAAATTAGTAAAGAGTAATAAAGAAAAATTAATAGAAACTCTCTTGGTCACATATATCCAATTATATTTAGAAAAGATTTGTTGGCATATTTTAAAATATAAACTCCTGTAGAAGAAAAAATAACTGAAAACTAAACTTTAGTATTAAATTTATTTATTGATTTTTTTCTTTTTACAGAAAGAGTATTCATATTAATAGGATATTTTTTAGACATTTTCAGGTGAGATCTTTGATTTTGTTTAAAAGGCCAATTTGTTGTATTTTGAGGGTTATATAGGAATTATAAATTATTTAACCTAATAACGAGAATTCAAGGAAATGCCAATACCTATGCTTCTCTAAACCACTCTAAACCTCTCTAAACCACATTACCTTTGCGCATATAATGTCCATCACTTTTTGAACCAATTATAGTTTTGAGTATATTATTGTAATTTGCTCGTGAATCAGATTTCATATTATCAAATGTAGCTTGTCTCACAACAGCATCCATGTCATTGTCACTTAGTTCTTTCCCAAGAAAGTTGCAGAGTTTTTGCACAGCACTTTTGAGATCCTGAAAGAGTTTTGAGTTTGAAAACCTATTCAGTTAATAAGGAATCCATGAGATAGAGATTAGCATCTCTCTCACACTTTAGAAAACAAAAACTGTTTGTTCTTATTCTAAGCCTGAAGTTTAAAAAGGATCTATTGCTTCCTAGTTTTATATAGAAAAGCAAGTGTTTTAGTTGGCAGCTTTGTTAGAACTTCCAAACTCTTTAATTTTATGAAAATAGCTTCTTTTTATTCATTGATTCATTCATTTAACCCATACCTTTAGAATGTCTTATGTTTGAGATGGTATGCAACCTGATAACTGTAAACATATGCTACCTCTATTTACTGAGTTAAAATTTAATAAGAAAAAAACTAAAATAGCTACATGTCTTTCTTGAATTACAAAAGGATGATGTTCCAATAAATCCATACAAATTGACAATATCTCAGGTCAAAGAAGATATTTTTTGAAAGTGTTGTATTTTTAATCATTGCTATAATTTAACTGCATTATTTGTGTAACCACATGTATATTTTTTATTGTATCTTTTTTTTTTACAGTTGTAGATTTACAATTTTTTGTGCTTGGGTTTCGATTATACAATGATCAGATACCCATCCCTCCACCAGTGCCCATTTTCCACCACCATGGATAATATCCCCCCACCCCCATCCCCCCATACCCCCCTGCCTCTGTGGCAGGGCAATCCCCTGTGTTCTCTCTCTCCTTTTGGGTGTTGTGGTCTGCAAAAGAGGCATTGAGTGGCAAACATGTTCAGTCCATAGTCTACTTTCGACATGCATCTCCCCTCCTGGGAGGATCCTCCAAACACCCTTTATTTGGTGCTCCCTTCTCTATCTGAACTGCCCTTTCCTCTAGGATACCCGGCTGGCCTCTAAGTTATGGGGTAATCCTCCTGGTGCTGATCTCAGCTATTCTTGGGTATTAATCTCATACTTTGTTACTTTATATCCCCCAGAGGAATGCAATCTTTCTATGTCTATCCCTCTCTTTCTGACTCATTTCGCTTAGCATGATACTTTCCATATTGTACCACTTGTATATAAATTTCATGACTTCATCTTTTCTAAGAGCTACATAGTACTCCATTGTGTAGATGTACCAAAGTTTCTTTAACCAGTCATCTGTTCTTGGGCATTCAGGTTTCTTCCAGTTTCTGGCTATTGTAAAGAGTGCTGCAATGAACAAATAAGTGCAGATGTCACTTCGACTATACATTTTTGCCTCTCTGGGATATATTCCCAGGAGTGGTATTGCTGGGTCAAATGGGAGCTCAATTTCTAATTTTTTTTTATTTTTTTACAGTTGTAGATTTACAATTTTTTTTGTGCTTGGGTTTCAATTATACAATGATCTGATACCCATCCCTCCACCAGTGCCCGTTTTTCACCACCATGGATAATATCCCTCCCACCCCCATCCCCCATCCCTCCCTGCCTCTGTGGCAGGGCAATCCCCTGTGTTCTCTCTCTCCGTTTGGGTGTTGTGGTCTGCAAAAGAGGCATTGAGTGGCAAACATGTTCAGTCCAGAGTCTACTTTCGACATGCATCTCCCCTCCTGGGAGGATCCTCCAAACATCCTTTATTTGGTGCTCCCTTCTCTATCTGAACTGCCCTTTCCTCTAGGATACCCGGCTGGCCTCTAAGTTATGGGGTAATCCTCCTGGTGCTGATCTCAGCTATTCTTGGGTATTAATCTCATACTTTGTTACTTTATATCCCCCAGATGAATGCAATCTTTCTATGTCTATCCCTCTCTTTCTGACTCATTTCGCTTAGCATGATACTTTCCATATTGTACCACTTGTATATAAATTTCATGACTTCATCTTTTCTAATGGCTACATAGTACTCCATTGTGTAGATGTACCAAAGTTTCTTTAACCAGTCATCTGTTCTTGGGCATTCAGGTTTCTTCCAGTTTCTGGCTATTGTAAAGAGTGCTGCAATGAATAAACAAGTGCAGATGTCACTTCGACTATACATTTTTGCCTCTCTGGGATATATTCCCAGGAGTGGTATTGCTGGGTCAAATGGGAGCTCAATTTCTAATTTTTTGAGAATCGTCCATACTGTTGTCCAGAAGGGCTGAACCAGTGGACATTCCCACCAACAGTGAAGGAGTGTCCCTTTCTCGCCACATCCACGCCAGCATTGGTTGCTTTTGTTCTTTTGAATGTGGGCCAGTCTCTGAGGTGTGAGATGGTATCTCATTGTGGTTTTGATCTGCATCTCCCTGATGATTAATGATGTAGAGCATTTTCTCATGTGCTTTTTTGCCATTTGGATTTCTTCTTTGAGAAAGTTTCTGTTCATTTCATTGCCCCATTTTTGGATGTGGTTGGATGTTTTCTTCTTGTGGAGTTTAACCAGTATTTTGTATATCCTGGATATCAACCCCTTGTCAGATGTGTATTCGGTGAATATCCTTTCCCATTCTGTAGACTGTCTTTGTATTTTGGTCACTGTTTCTTTGGAGGTGCAGAAGCTTCTTAGTTTAAGATAGTCCCATTTATCTATCTCTGTTTTCACTTGCTCGGCCAGTGGCGTGGCATCTTTGAAGATACCATTAGCTTCAATGTCATGGAGGGTTTTGCCAAATTTATCTTCAATGTACCTTATGGTTTCTGGTCTGATGTTGAGGTCTTTAATCCATTTTGATCTTACTTTTGTACATGGTGTTAGGCAGAGTTCTGAGCCTATTTTTTTGCATGTAGCCATCCAGTGATGCCAACATAATTCATTAAAGAGGCTTTTCTTACTCCACTTCACATTACTTGCACCTTTATCAAAGATTAGATGATCATATGATTGAGGGGAGATGTCAGTGTATTCAACCCTGTTCCATTGGTCTGCAGTTCTGCCATTGTTCCAGTACCATGCTGTTTTAATTATTACTGCTTTGTAGTACAGTTTGAAGTTCGGGAGATTGATTCCTCCCATTTTCTTTTTCCCAAGAATTGCTTTAGCTATTCGTGGGGGCTTATTGTTCCATATAAATTTCAAGAGTGTTTGCTCCATTTCTTTGAAGAATGTCTTGGGTATCCTTATAGGGATTGCATTGAATTTATACAATGCTTTCGGTAGTATTGCCATTTTGACAATGTTAAGTCTCCCGACCCATGAGCAGGGGATATCTTTCCATTTCCTCATGTCCTCTTTTTTTTCCTGAAGTAGCGTTTTGTAGTTTTCTTTGTACAGGTCCTTTACTTCCTTAGTTAAGCTGATTTCTAGGTACTTGATTTTCTGGGGCACAATTGTGAACGGGATTGTTTTTTTATGTTGCTTTCTTCTCTCTCACTGTTTGCGTATAGGAAAGCCATGGACTTTTGGGTATTGATTTTATAACCTGCAACTTTACTATACGAGTCTATTGTTTCTAGGAGTTTTTTGGTGGAAGTTATTGGGTTCTCTAAGTAGAGCATCATATCATCTGCGAATAGTGAGAGCTTGATTTCTTCCTTTCCTACCTGAATGCCCTTAATATCTTTTTCTTGCCTAATCGCTATTGCAAGTACTTCCAGTACTATATTGAACAGAAGTGGAGAGAGTGGGCATCCCTGTCTCGTCCCTGATCTTAGAGGGAAGGATCTCAGTTTTTCCCCATTGAGGATGATGCTTGCTGTAGGCTTGTGGTAGATGGCTTTAATTATGTTGAGGAAGGTCCCCTCTATACCCATTTTGGCTAGGGTTTTCATCATAAAGGGGTGCTGGATCTTGTCAAATGCTTTCTTTGCATCTATTGATATAATCATATGCTTTTTATCTTTTCTTTTGTTGATATGATGGATTATATGATTGATTTTCGAATGTTAAACCACCCTTGCATCCCTGGGATGAATCCTACTTGGTCATGGTGTATGATCTTTTTGATGAGTAGTTGGATTCTATTTGCTAGTAGTTTGTTGAGGATCTTTGCATCTGTGTTCATCAGGGATATCGGCCTGTAATTCTCTTTCTTTGTGGTATCTCTGTCTGCTTTTGGTGTCAGTGAGATATTTGCTTCTTAGAAACTGTTTGGAAGTGTTTTTGATATTTCAATTTCGTGGAAAAGCTTAAAGAGCACTGGGAGTAAGTCCTCTTCAAAGATTTGGAAGAATTCACTAGTGAATCCATCCGGGCCAGGACTTTTGTGCTTGGGGACACTTTTTATTACCATTTCAATTTCCTTGATGGTGATAGGTCTGTTCAGGTATTCCAGGTCTTCTTGGTTCAGCCTTGGGAGTCTGTAGGAGTCTAGGAATTTATCCATTTCCTCGAGGTTTTGATGTTCTGTGGCATAAAGCTTCTCAAAGTACTCCCTGAGGATCCTCTGAATTTCTGTGGTTTCTGTTCTAATGACCCCCTTTTCATTTCTGATTCGGTTTATTAGGGTTTTCTCTCTCCCTTTCTTTGTGAGTTTTTCTAGAGGCTTATCGATCTTGTTAATTTTCTCAAAGAACCAGCTTTTGGTTTCATTGATCTTTCGGATTGTTTTTTGGGTTTCCATCTCGTTAATCTCTGCTCTGAGTTTTATTATTTCCTTTCTCCTGTTCGGGTTGTGCTCCTTTTTTTGGTCCTTCTCCAAGCTCTTAAGCTGTGAGGTTAGGTTACTTATGTGTGCTCGTTCCTCCTTCCTGAGGAATGCTTGTAGAGCTATAAACTTTCCTCTTAACACAGCCTTTGCTGTGTCCCATAAGTTTTGGTAACTCGTGTTCTCATTTTCATTCGTTTCTAGGAATCTTTTGATTTCCTCTTTGATTTCCTGTCTAATCCACTCGTTGTTCAATAGTGCACTGTTTAATTTCCAGGTGTTTGATTTAGTTTTCTGTTTTTGTGTGTGATTTACTTCTAATTTCAGCGCATTATGGTCTGAGAAGATTGTTGATACAATCTCTACCTTCTTAATTTTATGGAGGCATGTTTTGTGGCTCAGCATGTGGTCTATCTTGGAGAATGTTCCATGTACGCTTGAGAAGAATGTGTATTCAGCTTTTTGTGGATGAAGTGTCCTGTATATATCTACTAAGTCCCTTTCTTCCATTGTTTCCCTCAAATGAAGTATGTCCTTGCTAAGCTTGAGTCTGGTTGATCTATCAAGAGGTTACAAAGCAGTGTTGAAGTCTCCCACTAGTATTGTGTTGCTATTGATGTCTTTTTCCAAATCTATGAGTAGTTGTTTTAAGTACTTTGCTGGTCTCTCATTAGGTGCATATACATTTATTATTGTAAGTTCTTCCTGTTGTACAGATCCTCTGATCAATAAGTAATGGCCTTCACTGTCTCTTATGACCTTCCTCACTCTGAAATCGATGTGGTCTGATATAAGGATGGCTACCCCAGCTTTTTTATGGGAGCTGTTTGCCTGTAGGATTGTTTTCCAGCCTTTGACTCTGAGTCTGTGTTTGCTTTGACTATTGAGATGTGTTTCTTGCAGCCAGCAGAATGTTGGGCTCAATTTTCTAATCCATCCTGCCACTCTATTTCTTTTAATTGGTTCATTTAGCCCATTGACATTGAGAGAGATTATTGTTATGGGATTTTGTCCCATTGTTCTGTTAAAATTTGGTGTATTTGAGGGGCCTTTCTTGCCTTAAAGTAGCCCATTTAGTTGTTCTTGTTTAACCATGGTTTTGAGTCTATGAAGTTCCTGAGCTGTTGTTTGTCTGTGAAACTGTGTGTTGTTCCTTCTATTATGAATGAGAGTCTTGCTGGGAAAAGTATTTTTGGGGAGGCATTTATTTCATTGAGTTTTTTCACTATGTCCCACCACTGTTTTCGGGCCATGAGGGTTTCATCAGAAAAATCAGCTGTGAATTTTAAGGATGCTCCTTTGTAAGAGATTTCTTTCTTCGATCTTGCTGCTTTCAGAATTTTGTCTCTGTCTAAGGTTTTGGTCATTTTGATCAGAATGTGTCTTGGGGTATTTTTATTCGGATTTCTTCTAGCTGGTACCCTTCTGGCCTCCTGAATGTGGTCACAAGTTTTCTTCAGCTCTGGAAACGTTGTTGCAATGATGTCTTTGATAGTTTCTTCTTCATCAAGGTTTTCTTCCTGTCCCTCTGGGACTCCAATAATTCTTATGTTACCCCTCTTGGCTTCATCACGATCTTCTCTTGCCATCTGTTCCCGAATTGTGAGTCTCTTTTCCATTTTCTGCTCTTTTCTGGAGAGTCTCTGAACTTCATCTTCGAGCTCACTGATTCTGTTCTCAGCAGCTCTTACTCTGCTGCTGAGGCCTTCCACTGAGCTTTTCAATTCGCCTACGAGATTTTTCAGTCTGACATTTCTGATTGCATTTTCCTCATTTCTGCCTTCAGATCCTCTTGTCTTCTATTGGCATTGCTTTCCATTGTTTCTTTTAATTCCCTATGCATCCTAAGTAGCTCCCTTCTGAATTCCTTGTCAGAGAGGTTGTCTAACACTACAGTACTGTTTGTGTCATCTGGCCTAGACTCTTCAATATGAAAGTTTGGTGGGCTTTTGCGTTGCTTTACCATTGTGAGAGGTGTGGTTTAGTCCTTCACGTTCACTGTTACTATTCTGCTTGATATGCAGTGTGAGTTCAGATAGGCTTATGAGTTATTGGCTACTGTGTTTCTAGTGGCTGAGCTAAAATAGAGAAGTTTCCATCTAAGAAGGTAGCTTATGGTTCCTATGGCATACATAGTGGGAAAATATTTTGTGGTCGCATTAGCGGCCGCGGCTCTGGAAAGAGTCCCTGGCACTGGGCGAGGAGTTGGGAACGTCTCCTGTTTGGAATTGGAGCCGTTCAGCTTTGTTGCCCAGAGCTGGGCCTCCGTGCCCGTCCCGCGCAGATCAGGGGTTGAAAACTGGCTTTCTAGGAGCTGGATCTAGCTGCGCATGCCCAGAGAGGATCCCAGGCCCTTGGGGGCGGGCTGTACCTGTTTGGAATTGGAGCTGTTCAGCTTTGTTGCCCAGAGCTAGGCCTCCGTGCCCGTCCCGCGCAGATCCAGGTCAAAGAAGATTTTATACACTAGAGTATATTTTAATATAATCTACTTGAATAAAAACATACCGAAATTATTTTGTTTACAATTAAGAAAATGATCAAATGCATTTTCTTCGATAATAAAATATTGAACATATTATAATTTAGTAACACAGCCACAGTCATCCTTATGACCACTCTCCACATGCTCAGACAAGCCTCATGCGTGAAGGAACTGGCATAGGAACCCAGGTGTTCAGGATCGGGGGGGTGAGATCCCCAAGCCTGCTCGGATTGTAACTGGGCCTCCTTCACCCAGATCCCCCATCTTCCAGTAGCTAGACAGTTACACCCACCAACTGCCCGCAGCACCATGTAATCACCTCAACGGCCAAGATCCAGAGACTATAAAACCAAGCTCCCAGGTCTTGTCTAGTTCTCACCCTCGGAGAATCCAGCAGGCTACCGTGAGTGAGTATCTGGCCCACAGGGCAGAGTCTGACAAGCTCCCCGTGGTGTATTTGATATGCCAAAACCCAGTAACAATGATGAGTCTCATTCTCCCGACCCTGAAAGTGCCTCCAATGTGGCACTTGCTAAAATCTCAGAGCTAGGATGGATGAAGACATTACTGGTGCCTGCTCGAGGAAATCAATGAACAATGGGATGACAGTGATACAGTGATACTGTCAAGGAGTGAGACTTTGAGTGAGATGTAATCTGGAGTACGTGCTAATGGGATAGGGAAGCGGGTGGTGGAGTGGAGATGGGAACATTGTGTGCCTAAAACCCATGTAAATAACTATGTAAATCACAGAGTCTAAATACAAGAAAAATAGAAATAATAGGTTTTTTAAAACCAAGATTTTATTCACAGTACACAAAATCTCCTCTGGCAAATCAGTCATATCTTAGTAACTTTTTGCCCTTGTGCTCCAGAGTGCCCTCGCTCTTATTTAAATTTATTAAACTGCTGTCTTAGAAATGTAAGCCTGTAGTTTTGTTCTAACTCTACATAAACGTGAATCACAAAATATAACTATGTAGTGAGAAGAAAATCCTTGCAAAGATCAAAAATTGAGGTCTGAGCAGGAAATTAGTACACAAAAAAGGGCTATTTATATGACTATAACAAAAAAAAGTCGTTCATTGATACAAAGATAAGAAAGGTTTCAAAGAAACATATAGTAAAGATACTTCTCTTACCTTCCTCATCTCCTCATATGACAAAAACAGAATATTAAATTTATGTCTGTGTTCATACCAGTCTTTAACGTGATCAAACCAAATGCTTCCTACAACTGTGAGGAAATAAGTAGCAAGGTAAGTTTGTTGCTTCTTTTTTTTTAGCAGAAAGCTTTCTAAAGAAAGTTCACACCTCTTGACAACCGTGCTTCCTTCTAAAATGAAGTCTGGGGAAAGAATAATATGAATTAATTAAAACCAACTTTTGTTAGCTACTCTTTTTGTGAAAAACCAGTGAAAAACAGTAAGCCCAAAGAACAGGCTTTGACATTTTCTTTAGATTTAGCAGCATCCTTGTATTACTTCTTCCACATTCAAACTCCTCATTATTTTTACCTTTGTTTATTTTTAAATCTGTGATAACAACTTCAGCTATCCATAATGAAACAGAACCTGAATATAATCTTCTAAATGAGTGTCATCCCAGTTCTACATTCCACAAGCTTGTGCATCATTCTGCTCTCTGTAGTAGAGTGGAGATACCACATGCCATATGATTCCTGCACATGAAGAGGACAAGCTACAAATAATTCTACAAATAATTCTATAAATAATTCTATACATAGCTATGCAGAAACATATGCTTCTAGCTTTTGCTCTAAATAGTTAGGATCCCAAGTTCATGGGAATCTCTCTTATGATCTAGTCAAAATACTACTTCAGCAGCACATGATATTGCAACATCGAAAATCTCCATCATAAGGAGATGATGATAAAAATCATGAGGTGGCAGGTTAAATTCTCTGAGGTAGCAACAGATGCATTCCACCTTTCACGTAAACTTCTCTATCTTACAAAATATTTTCCTCAAATTTGCAAATTTGGCTAAAACTAAATAAATTCTTTACCTTTTCCATCTAGAAAATTATGCATGAAAATGTCCATATTTTCATATCCTTCTAATAGCCCAGCTAAATTTGAAAAATGAAAATATGAGGTAATAACATCCTTGGGGTTTCTGTAGATGTACACAATCTGTAGGAGGAAGGATGAAATAATTTTAGCAATTCTTGACTTATGCACGATTTCTTAAACACCTAAATAACACATCATGATATCAATGCATAATCATTTATTTCATTATTATAATCATTATCATAATCATTTATTTCATTTATTTAAATCATGGTAATTTATATTGTCAATAGTTTGTACTATTTTAAAGACAAAATCAAATATATATACAAATATCACTTCATACCTACAAGAAGATAGGATAAATTTCAAAAAGTGAAATTATTTATATGAATTTTATTAACATAGAAAATTAATCATGTAGTAAAATTTCCCACCATGAAAATTAAGTGAGATTTAATATGCAAAGTTTCATTGAGAACAGTGACCAAAGCAAAAACTAATTAAAAGATACAAAAAGGGCTGAAGAGATAGTATAGATTTTATAGTGGTTAGCGTGAGTGTCTTTCATATGTCCAACCTGGGTTCAATCTCTGTTACCCAATCTGTTTCCTAAATCCCCCTTCTGAGTACAGAGCCAGGAGTAAGTCCTGGGCACCACCAGCTATGACCCAAAAAGCAAAGAAACAAAAAAGGATGGTTTAAAAAATAATCTACTCAAATAAAATAGATAAAAATAACCATACTATTAAAAACTACAAATGGTTTAAGTATTTAAGAAAGTAAATAAAACTGATATTAAAGTTATTTTCCTTTTTCTTGGTGAAGTATTTCCCAATCAAGAAAAATTTTTACTAAATAACAAATTATTCTGACCCTGGTAAGCTACCAGGGGCATATTCGATATGCCAAAAGCAGTAATAATAACGGGCCTCATTCCCCTGACCCTGAAAGAACCTCCAATACAGCAGCGTATTTATATAACCCTTGTTTCATGAAAAACTGGTACAAATTCTTTGTTTTAAAAATATGCATATACTTTGTGGATTTGCTATTATATTCTTGGGTCATAAGGGCTAGGAAATTATAATTCCAAAATGTCTTATAAATTTACCCAATTAAATTTTTAATATGTTTTCATAACAAATTATTGAGCAAATTACAAAATTTTTTCGCAGTGTGCCAAAATAAGTACTACGTGCAGTTAGGAGTTAATCCATAAGTAGAAAGAGACTAAATTATTAGTAAATCTTATTGCATTCAAGATTATAATGGGTGAAATGTTGGTTTTCTTTATAGTTGCAAAAAGAAAAAAGTCATTTCACATTAGGGTTTTTTCTGGAAACAGAGCAAAATCAAAAATAAAAGTAAACTTCAACAGAAAAAAGAGTAAGGAAATTACCAGCATATGTGTTCCTAAAGTCAATTTTAAAAAAGCAAGAAAAAATGCTAAAAATACTAAAGTAAAGGCTTAATGGAAAATATTTTTTTATCACCACCATTATATTTTTCTATAGATTTCAACTACGGAAATAGAAAAATTGGTTTCAATATTGGAAATTCAAAGGGAGAGGCTATGGAAACTTTATTATGTAAAAAGGTAGATTTCAAAAACAGTGCCAAAAATTATCTAAATTATATGCTGAGGTTCTTGAAAATAACATGCAACAACCATATTTTAAATAAAATGCAGCATTAAACAAATTATAATTTTATTTAAAAAAGAAAACTATGTATATAATGAACATGTATAGACAGAACTGGAGAAATTGTATAACTATTATGATGGGGGAAGTATTATCCAGCAATACACAAAATCTGAAAGGTATGAAAATAAGATTAATAGACTGAGTTTACAAGCAACACAGTAAAGACAGTTTAGAAATAAGAAGTCTACATAATCTCTAAACAAAACACGGTAGCACAGTAGCACGGTGCTCCCATTGTTCATCTATTTGCTCTAGCGGGCCCAGTAACAACGTGAGACTCCTTGTTACTGTGTTTGGCATATTGAATACGTCACAGGTAGCTTGCCAAACTTTGCCTTGTGAGCGAGATACACTTGATAGCTCGTTGGGCTCTTCGGGAGGAAATGAACCCGGCTTGGTAGGTTGCGCTCAAGGCAAATGCCCTACTGCTGTGCTATCACTCCAACCCAAAATAGAAGCATCATTGAAATGCTTCTAAAAACCATAAAGTGAAAGATAAGCTAAAGAAAACTGGTACAGAAGCAGAAACAACACTTAAAAGTTTAGAAAACTATAAAAATCACATTCTAATTTACTGAAACTAAAAGATACACAAATTATTGCTAATGTCAATCATTGGAGAATATGTGAAGAAACAAATATTCTTAAATGTTGTTTGATAAAGCATAAATTGTTAGATTATGAAGACAGTAATAATACCTACGAACATAATACTAAAGATCTTTGGAAACTTTAAACTGAAAAGTCCTCTTTTAGGAAAATATTTCATTGGAAATAAATGTAGAAATATTGCTGCTACTACTTTTGCACAAGTGTTGCCCAACAATATTCCTTAAATATTTTATTTCCATATAAATCCTCCTAAACATTTAAAATATGATTTTATGAGCTTACATTTAAAAATTTGCTACGTGGTTTAGAATTACAAAGCAAAAAAAATCTGTGTGGTGACATAATATAATTACTTAAAATTTCACATTGATTTTATTTATATTTGGGGTCTTCCAAATGATTCTACAGAAGACAGAGGATCTATTCCAGACATTATTAGTCCACCAGGCCACCAGTTTAATGCAGGGGCCTGAGCATACAGCATTACTCAAGAATCAGTGGCCTGCAGTAATCTCCATGCAGTTTTCCTTGGGAAATCATGTGGCACTGGCATTAAGTCAAGCAACTAACCCCTGTACCATCTGCTAGCCCCTACGGTATAAAACATGTTATTAAATAAATTAATATTAATAAATATTAATATTAATAAAATTTATAATATTAATATTAAAAGGTAAAGGTAAAGGCCCTCCCGTTGATCGTCGATTTGCTCGGGCTGGAGCGATAGCACAGCGGGTAGGGCGTTCGCCTTACAAGTGGCCAACACGGCCGACCCGAGTTCGATTCCTCCGCCCCTCTCGGAGAGCCCGGCAAGCTACCAAGAGTATTCGATATGCCAGACACAGTAACAACAAAGTCTCCAATGGAGACGTTACTGGGCCCGCTCGAGCAAAATATTAATATTAATATTAATAAATTAATTAAATCAATATTAATTTAATTAATAAGAATATCAATTTAAATTTTAAATTTAAATGTTAATAATATTAATTTAATTAAATTAGTATTAATTTAATTAATTAAATTAATGTTGATGATATTAATTAATTAAAATAATATTAATAAATATTAATATTAATAAATATTAATGTTAATATTAATAAATTAAAATTAATATTAAATTTACGGTATAAGACATCTTATTAAAGACATGTAATAATAATTTTTAAAGGATTTGGATGAATAGAGGAAAAACGAGACTTGCAGGTTTTTTTTTTGTTTGTGCTAAAAGCTATTTCCAAGACATACTTTAGCTTTTTTGTTCTTGAGATCATTTGGTACTAAATAATATGGCACATGAGAACAGAATATGCAAGGGGATGGTCTCTTGGTAAAGTCCATCTTGCATATGTTATATTCTAGAAAGGGAACTCGGTCAAGTGTTTCCAAATTTTCAGTTTGTTTATGATGTGTTTCAAAATAAATCAAACTTAATATCTGCTGAGTCCAGATGGTACCTGTGAAAATAAGGAATCATTTTCAACTCTGAGTTCTTTTTAATTTTTATTTATTTCATTATTTTTTGGTTAAAATTTCATTTTTTCATTTCATCATCCTGTTATTCTTCGATTGCCTCGAGCAGGCCCCAGTAACGTCTCTTTCATCCTAGCCCTGAGATTATATTCAAGGCTCTTTAGGAGAATGAGACCCATCATTGTTACTGGTATTTGGCATATTTGGTACACCACAGGGAGTTTGCCAGACTCTACCCTGTGGGCAGGCTACATTCGATAGCCTGCAAGTTTGTCCAAAGTAGGAATGAGACAATAAGATGTCATAAAAAAAAATTCTGATAAGATGTCCGGGATCTGGATTTTATAGTCTCTGAGTCTTGGCCGCTGATGGGATTACACGGCGCCAGGGGGCCAGGTGGTGGGTGTGACCCCCGCCTACTGGAATTTGGAGGATCTGGGTGGAAGATGCTCGACTCCAATCCGAGTAGGCTTGGAGGTCTCAGCCCCGGAACCCGCGTGGCTTTGTCCCTCTGCCAGTACCTTCATGTGTGCGGAGAGTGGTCTCAGCATGGTGGTGGCTGGTCCTGGAGGTCTTCGGCTGCCTTTTTTTGGTTAAAAAAAGAAAGTTTTTATTGAAACTTATTAAGCGAATGTGAGGTGAAAGAAAAGTGAAGTGCATGTTGGAGAACACAGGCATTTCCAGAATGGAAATAAGCAAGCAAAGAAACACAGAGACAAGCAAGTGAAATTTTTGTTCAAGAGATAATATGAGCTTGAATAACAAGCTTGAAAATTAATGTTTAATAATAAATGTCATTTTAAATGCCACACATCTCTAAAGTACTTGGAGCTTTTAATTTCTTTCGTGCTCTTAGTAGCCTTGGATTAACATATTAAGTAACACATTGTGAAGTACATAGAAGCCTAGTAATCTATTGATGTGCTATTCCAGAACAAAAAAGGTATCAGTAGTTGTAATATAACCACTGTGGGTAAAGTGTAGTCATAATACTGAACTTTGGCAACTATGCAAGAAATAAAAAAAATGCACTGAAAATTAAAACAAATTCTTTGGGCATGAGAGTTGGTTATTATATTATTTTACACTGCTCTCAGATTGCTGATTATCTTTACACTCAGGGGTCACTCAGGGTACCATATCTGATAACAGGATTGCACCGGGTCAAGAGCATTCAAGGCAAGCTCCTTTCCCACTCTACTATCTCTCTGGCCTTCAACCAGTTTGAAAGAGTTCTGCAATAATTGGCATTTTTCTCAAACCTGTCCTAAAATAGGGCTGGAGCGATAGCACAGCGGGTAGAGCGTTTGCCTTGCATGCAGCCAACATGGTAGACCCGAGTTCGATTCCTCCGCCCCTCTCGGAGAGCCTGGCAAGCTACCAAGAGTATCTCGCCCACAGGGCAGAGCCTGGCAAGCTACCTGTGACGTATCCTATATGCCAAACACAGTAACAACAAGACTCAAGATGGAGACGTTACTGGGCCTGCTCGAGCAAATCGATGAACAACGGGAGGACAGGAAAGGTCCTAAAATATCTACTGGACTTTGCATTCATTCTTTTGTCATCTGCTGCCCACATAATCTGCTCTTTGATAATTGTTCTCAGGTTTCTACTTAGCACATAATTTTGTCCCAATGTACATATTTTAATCCTTTCAATTCACAGTTCTTCACAAGTATTAAAAGGATTTAGTTGAATGGTTATTTAAAGGTTATACATTTTTAAGCCATATCTTATTTCAGATAGAATTATGTATTAAGATTATAAATCATTTTTGGGTAAGTGACATAACCTGAAATAAATAAATCCAAGAGAGTAGATTATTAAAATAAACAGTTTAGCAGTTTAGTTCATAATTTATGATTTTATTATGCATTTTTATGAAAACTAATGCTTAAGAGACTATTTGCATATCAGATAATTTGCAGATTCTCTCTAAATAGAATGCTCTGTAATAACACTACAGTGAAAAGAACAGTATTGATCTGTTTTCTACAGTAGCATTACTTTCTTCATTTCTATAGCAAACGAATATAAGTTCACATAGTTACTGTGAATGTTAGTTCTTTTTTTCCATGTAATTTTCCATAACTTAGAAAATTAAAAAATTTCCATAACTTAAATTTAAAAATTTAAAAATTTAAAAATTAAATTTAAAACTTAAATTTAAAAATTTAAAAATTTCCATAACTTAGAAAATTTTCCATAACTTAGAAAATGCTTTTAAAATATTTTAAGTGTTTCTTTTTTTTTTTTTAAATAATTTATTTATTTATTGAATCACTGTGGGAAAAGTTACAGAGCTTTCGGGTTTAGGTCTCAGTCATGTAGATACCGAACACATTTCCCTTTACCAATACTCATTTTTAACCCCGAACCCCAATAGACCCCCACCTCCCACCCCTCCCAATTCTTGTGAGGCAGATGAGTTCTAGTTAATACTCTATCTACTTTGACTAGATAGATTATTTCGATAGAAGATGCACAATTATTCTTTAGAGTTTACGACCCCCCCCCCCCCCCCATCAGACATGCTGAAACAGCGTTGTGAAATGATTTGCTTTCTACAACTTGGTTTAAGAATAAAATGATGGTTTTGATAAAAAATGGTTTTGAATTTCTGCTATTTTACTTATTGGCCCTGGAAGAATTTCTATTAAAAGTTAGCTAGTTAAGAGATTGGTTTCTGTGCCCTGGAGTCGTGGCCGTGCCGGAGAGCCGCTCGTGGGGGGCAGCTGACGACCTCGGTGGGGCGTGGGGGACGGCCCACAAAGCCCCCCTTCCCATGAGGTCCCCGCCGCTCCCCCGAGCCCGGCTCAAACCTGCTTTCCACAAGGCTCCCGTGCGGCCGCCATCTCTCTTTCCAGAGAGGAGCGGGCGGGCCGGTCAACGCCCTTCCCCCTCCGGGCAGGCTTGGTGGCGCGGATCAACACAAGTCCATTTGCTTTTCTGCTCCAAGCGGCTGGTTCTCTGTGCTAAGTCCTTGTGCCTCCGGGGCCGTGGCCGTGCCGGAGAGCCGCTCGTGGGGGGCAGCTGGCGACCTCGGTGGGGCGTGGAGGACGGCCCACAAAGCCCCCCTTCCCATGAGGTCCCCGCCGCTCCCCCGAGCCCGGCTCAAACCTGCTTTCCACAAGGCTCCCGTGTGGCCGCCATCTTTCTTTCCAGAGAGGAGCGGGCGGGCCGGTCAACGCCCTTCCCCCTCCGGGCAGGCTTGGTGGCGCGGATCAACACAAGTCCATTTGCTTTTCTGCTCCAAGCGGCTGGTTCTCTGTGCTAAGTCCTTGTGCCTCCGGGGCCGTGGCTGTGCCGGAGAGCCGCTCGTGGGGGGCAGCTGGCGACCTCGGTGGGGCGTGGGGGACGGCCCACAAAGCCCCCCTTTAAGTGTTTCTTTAATGGTCTGTTTTTCTACTGGGAGCCACCACCAACCACTGAGTTGAAGCCACAACCAGCAGTGCTCAGGAACCATATACAGTACCTGGGATCAATCCAACTTCAGTCATGAAAAGATTAGCACTTTATTCCTGACCTTTCTCTCCAGATCTGTAATGATCTATAGTAAATATCTAAAGGCTAGGTGCTAGAGCATAGCACAGCAGGTATGGCGTTGACCTTGCACATGGCTGACCTGGGTTTGATTCCCAGCATCCCATATGGTCCCCTGAGCACCACCAGGAGTAATTTCTGAGTGCATGAACCAGAAGTAACTCCTGTACATCGCCAGGAGGTGGCCAAAAAAAAAAAAAGAAAGAAAGAAAGAAAAGAAAAGAAAAAGGAGAAAGAAAAAGAAAAAAGTAACTGAAGGTGAAATTTATCCTACAATAGTTTCCTTTTCTTCTTACTTTGTATCAATTCACTATATGTTTTTTTTTCTTAAGAGCCTCAAGAAATAAGGTAGTTGAGAACACTTAGCACATAAAATCATGCCATATTACGTTTTCTCCACTTCTGCTGGGATAACGTAGTAGCATTAAGTCAGAGAAATAAGAAGTCAGGAGCTTGTTTTCTAAACATCATTCTTTCTATACTGATACTGATTGAGAATATTTTATGTGCATATTTTTTAAAGAAAAGTTGTTAATACATGAGATTATTTTATTGGTTCTTTGTTAAAAAGAATGGAAAACCAGCAGGACTGTACTACTACACAAGAAGGGAGACTGCAATAACATTGGCAACTATAGCCCAAAATGCTTATTGTCTGTCATCTACAAGCTATTCACTTGAGTCATCCTGAAGAGGATTGGCAGAACACTAGATGAAGGACAACCATGCGAGCAAGTTGGGTTCTGAAAAGGATTCAGCACCATCAACCATATCCACACGATAACCAAGCCCATTGAGATTTCTCGGGAGTTCAAGATGCCACTCTGTCTAACGTTCATTGATTCAAAGAAGGCCTTTGATTCTGTTGAGATGGATGCAGTCATCGAAGCCCTAGCCAGTCGGGGCATTCAAACTCAATACATCAGGATCCTCCATGAGCTGTATTATGGATTCACTACCAGGATCTCACCATTCTACAAAGAAGTGATCATCGATGTCAAGAGAAGGGTTTGACGGGGTTATACTATTTCATCGAAACTCTTCAGTGCCACCCTCGAGAATGTCATGTGACGACCGGAATGGGAAGGAATGGGACTGAAGATAGATAGTCGACAACTATACCACCTCTGCTTTGCTGATAACATCGTTCTAACAACACCAAACATCAGCCAAGTTGCACAAATACTGACCGACTTCTATTGTGAGTTTGGAAAGGTCAGATTACAGCTGAATCTCACAAAGACAAGGTTCATGAGAAACAATCTTGTTCCTGACGTTCCATTCACTCTCAACGGAATAACCATCTCTGAATGCAACATCTACGTATACCTAGATCGAGAAGTCTACATGATGAATAACCTGGCAACTGAGTTGCGCAGGAGGAAGAGAGTGGCTTGGAATGCCTTTAAGAGCGTCAAAGAAATAGCTAAGAGGATTA